TAAAAAAAAATTAACCCGTATTAACAAAATTCTTAGAACTGAATGAAACTGCTTTGTTTGGGAAAAAAAATCAGCAATTCATTCTTTGAAAGATAGCCTGAAACGAAGTATCTGCCAAGCCAAGCAAGGATTACACAGGGAACATGACAAGCAACGCATACAGCACCTTGCAATGGCACCTCACGCAGCATTACCTGCGGCACTGCTCCCAAGTCTGCCACTTCTGCACTTGGAACATTTCCTCTCCAGAAACCTTCAGCAAAACATAATTATAACTAATTGGCAGGGAGAGGGGAGTCAAGGATCTTTCTCTCCAGATAAAAAGTTACAACTAGCAATGTTGATTCCGCCACATAGAAAGTCTGCAAACAAAGGCAACAGAGAAAATTGCTTCCTTTGTTGACATTATCTTACAGACCTCTCGTGTGGAACTATTAGCGCGGTTTCAGCAGAACCCCTCCAGTAACTCCCAAGTCTGTGACTGCGAATCCTGGAACGCAAACCAAAGCGATTACGTAGCTATTTCAGAGGGTGACAGCGCTGCAGAGCAGCTTATGACAAGTCCAATCTTTTGCATCAGTTGTTTCTAACCAATGTCAGCACCATGCTCTTAGCTGCATTGCTGTATTCAGCAAAAGAAAAGCCTAAGGCGCCAATACTACTCTTTTTGTTTTAAGCCAGTTTAAAGCAGAATTAGGTGCCCTATACTTAAAATTTATGGAGACATGCATGATTTTGAGCATTGTAAGACCACACTTACACTACCACTCATAAAGCACTTCATTTGAGAAAATTAACTTCCTTGAGCTTTTTTTAAGCATTTGAATTTCAAGAGGCATTGATGTACATGTGCAAGTCAGAGCTTGCTTCATTCTGCTTTTCCGGAGAAAAGCAAGCATGCTAGGTCAGACGCATCCCACCTGCACCTCCCCTTGCATGGCATGGCCATTTATCAACCACAGCTATGTTTGACTGCAGAAATCTCAGACGGCTGTGAAACCAGAGCCCCGTGGCGTCCCAAGCATTAGTTCAGACTGTTGGCTTTCTTGTTTGTGCTTACATTGTCTTTGCCACACAGTCTGAGTGGATCAGAGAAGAAGTAAGTAATTATTATGAAAGCTGTAGTAGAACAGGCTGGAAGCTTTATGTCAATGCTTCCTTGAAGAGGAAACTGAATTCCCACAAAAGCGTGCTTTTGGAATTAACCTGCCTCTATCCTAAAAATATGTTATTTGTTTTTTAATTAAAAAGACCTAATAACAGACAAGTTCTGCTTTCAGTACTAAATATTCAATTTAGATATTCCCTGCAGCTCTACATATAGACCCAGACAACCAGAGTCTGGTTTAGGTCATCAGTAACAACCCAATAATCTGTAGCCTTTCCCTCACATGTATTTGAACAACAAAGACTCAGAAACTGATGATTTTATTCAAGCAAAGGTTCTTGTCCGAGAAGTTCACTCCCTAACAAAATCCCGCCATGGCTGAAAAGCCAGAAGGGCTTGCACCACCACCTGGAACAGTGCAGGAAGTGAAAGTGTCATCTTGTAAGAGCAGCTTAGAGCCTCCAGCAAGATGTCTTTCACACCAAAACTGTGTTATCCCAATGTTTTAAATTTGGAGATATTTTGCTTTCAAAACCCCAGTTACAGCTGAACAACAGCAAAGTAAAGATAAGAGTTAGAAGGGCGTTGTTCCATTTCCATCCACTGTAACGGTCTTTCTGAAGAAAGTGACTTTCAACTTCAGCACGTCTGGAGATGAAATCTTCATTTAGCTTCCTCCCAAATCAACGTAATAGGTAATTCTCATATATTGAAAAAAGTATTTTCTAAATCCCATCTTAAAGGACTAAAAATAAATATTTACATTAATGAACTAATGAAAACATAAAGCATTATGGTAATTCTAAAATCATAATTGTTTCATGGCCTCATAAGGATTCACTTCTAGAGAAACTATGTATTTTATAAATCAACTAAGCTTTTGGTTTCTATTTCAAACGCAAGGTGACTCAAGAAGCATTACTAACTAGAACTATGCAGGGGAATATACAGGCTTCCAGTTAAAGTAACAATGAAGTAAACAAGTAGAATCCTCATTAAATCAGTCTACTCTTTCTGTGCTTATTAGGAAGAACTTGTTACACCCATCGAAGGGAGAAAAATTAGCTTTGCTACTGGCATAGAAGAGGCATTTGCATCACTCAAGCAATTTACTCCTTAAACTTCTCATAACTTGGATTTTAATCCTGCAAATTTGGGACCAGTGCTCTGCTTGGATACAGTATCCCACAAAATACATCAGAAGGCATAAATCTTACCCTGGGAAAACGGACAACTGTGTCCCCATTCTCATGAAGTGTATTACTCTGCATCAAAACCAGTTCTGCTGACATAACTGTTTATGTGTAAGCTCTCACGAGCACACCTCTCTGCAAATGTGGCTATACAATTTTGCTTCACTTACACCAGGTGTGTGCTCTGAACTCCAGAGAGGAGTTGCATTAGCAAAGGCTGGTACAAGAGCTGCCAAGAAGGAAGTTGTTATTAAGGTACAGAACTGTAAAAGGCATCTTATTTCTCCTGTTCACAGAAGTCACTAACATTCTCCTCCCGCACAAACAGCTGCAGAAGGGTGTTGTAAAAACAAAAAAAGCACAGCATAAAGCAGTCTGGATTCGTGTTTATTGAAGCCAGTAATTAAAGACGTCCTCATTTTGCCAGCACTAGAAAGCAAGATTCCACATGACTGCATACTGCACCTGGTTAAAGCAACACAACTGGACTAAGGTTTGTTTCATACATTTGCAGTCCTAATTGTAAGTTGGGAAAAAAACCCAATAAAATTAGTATACAGGACAGTGAACTTTCATTTACAGCATGTATATTGTTAAGTTCATGATGTACAGAGCAGTCACTTTCAACGTAGTTAAATTAAATAAAATACGAAATTCTGTTCAGTTTAAACAGTTTTTTTTTAAATGCCAATAAAAAAAGTGCAAACTTAAAATCAAGCAGCATAACCACAGCATTTTTATGGAGGGCCAATCTTTAAACTTTTCTATTTACTTCAAGTTTTTCATAGAATGTTTTGGGTTGGCAGGGACCTTAAAGACCCTCCAGTTCAAACCCCCCTGCCTGGGGCAGGGACACCTTCCACTCGACCAGGCTGCTCAGAGCCCCATCCAACCTGCCCTTGAAGTTGAATGCTCTCATCTTTTGTTTTCTTAGTTTAAACATGAACAGTAGATGCAGTCACTATAATGCATATAAATATAGTCATATAATAGTTTAAACAGTCTACCATACAAGTGTATCTGCAAATAAAATGAAGTTTCACTTGAAAATGTAAAGGCTGTTTGCAATTTGGCCTTTGGTTCCAATGCTTGAAGACACCAGAATAACAACTGTGCAGCTCACCAAAGCTGACAGGCTTTGGCAACCACAGGATGCTACATTACTTACAACTTTCTTTCAATAAACTAGGAGCATTCACTTGCAATTAGAAACCAGAAACCTGTTTCTGTTTTGTCAGAAGCATCTTTCTGCAAAGCTGGTAAGTTATCATACATTATAAGTTTTGATCAATTTTAGTATATTTAACATTTTTATAGAACTGGAAAGTACTTCAATTTTAAGTTTTAGCCATATTGCTACAGAAAGTGCTTATCAGGTTAGATGACAAAAAAATGCAGTTTCAGACTGAGGTTTTCAAAGTATACTCCATTACGATCAGACCCTTCTTCAATTTTCCTCTCAGTTCTCAGTGTCAGGAGCACAGTGTGTAATTACTTCTTCTGGTGTGGTAACTTGCAGCTGGCACCCATTACACCAGGAAGTACATCCACATTACCTATCGGACATCCACAGTCTTAGTCTAACTGTTGCCTAGACAACTGTGTAACTTCAGGTCATACCGTTTATTAAAAAAAAGTAAAAAAACAGAAAAATATAATATTTTCAACAAAAAAAACCTGGCACAAATAACATACTCGTGTTAATGTTTGTCAAAGAGGCAAGTAAATACTCTTAGCTTTCTAGGTAATGTTTAGACAGACTTACAGGAACAGCCTCTTGATACAACATAGGATTTGAAGTTAACATCCAGTACTGTGTTAGTGGTCAATGTAATTCTGTATATTTAAGTAACAATATATATTAGGGAAGTTATATCCAGACATCAGATTTAGTACAACAAGTTCATATCAATAAAAAGTAAACTCTGCATAATTCAAATTGTGGTTTTTCCCTTCAGCGTTAAGAGCACAGAATATGCTTGCTATTTTTAATTTATGGTAGTGTGTACATGTAAAACAAGCATATCATATATAAAATCAAAGTGCTTTTCAGTAACCATAGCAGTCTTGTTTGTTTTTACAGAATGATGGTTTTATGTGACCATGGACAGAGCTCCAATAGAGCAACGGGGACAACCACAACCCATCTTTCCAAATGAAATGCTACATTAAAGAAAATACAAACCAAGTTATTGAGTATGTTCATCATGTACACATTCATATTTTCGGTTACCTTCGGAATTGGAGCTGGCTGCACCTGCAGCAGACGTGGCTGGAACTAGGGCCTTGAAAGTTTTTTTTAAAAACCTCCATAGGTGTAAGGCAGGAATCAATTCTAGCTTGGTAGCTAATACTTAGGTATAAAAAGTAAGAAAAAACAAAATACTGAGAGTGTTGTGTAGCACATTTCATTATGGGAAAATGATACGTCACCCACCATTCTTCATAGGCTAGCCTCTTGGGATCAAAAAAGGCAGAAGCTATCAGAAAACAAGATTTAAAATTAAATACAAATTGCCAAACTACTGATTTTAAAATAAAACCAAACAGTGACTGTTTGTACTACAGTGCACAATAAGTTCAAGCACCTTCTAAAGACACATCACACACTGTGCCAGGCACTTGGATCTAAACAAGTTATAGTTTCTCCCTTTGTCAGCTACACCAAAAAGGGCATCCACACTCTTAGACTTCTTTAAAAACTAAACCAAGATTCATAACAAGAATAAATTCCCATGATGCTTAGTGTTTGGCCTGGAATTCTCCAATGTAAAGTAGTCTTTTTAAAACAGTGATTATTTACCCCCTGTGAAACACAGGGTTTAACAACATTGCTCCTCTCCAGTCAGTCCAACATTCTAGTTTCTCACTGTCCCAAATCTGTTTCCCCTTTTAGGGCTCCATTCCCTACCTAGGCTTCTTCCTCCTAATTAATGCTCTGTTACAGCACCACCACCACCTTTCCAAGTATATAATGCATTTGCAAATATACAAGAAGCCAATTCCAGTAACTCTGAAAGAGGATTTCGTTTCTCTGTCTTGCCTTGTGTGCAGTCAGTAGTAGTATTTCAATAAGAATTCTCCATTTTGCTTCTCTGTGTTCTTCACAACAGGAAATGCAGCTGCACCTGCTCACCTCCACACCCCAAAGAATTGCCCTATATAAACTCTAAATGGTTATCTTATACAGAGGGATTTTATATGCAAACTTCCTGAATGTGCACTTTTTACTGGGACAAGGCAATGATGTAGTAAGCTCATTTCCCCTGCCCCAAGAAAACTGATAGCATCTGCCATAGCAGAAAATTCATGGTCTTATCAGATCAATATACATAGTTATTTGGTCATTTACATATGCATTTTTTTATGCGCTATCAAGCTTCGTTCTCTGTTGGAGGAGAGTTTGTTGTTACCATAGAGTCTGGCTTGCGAGTCATCCTATCCAATTCCTCTTGAACATTTGTCAAAACTGTTTTTTGTCCTAAAAAGAAAAAGGATAAGGTTAGAGCAAACTAATTTCAATGAAATCTTCTAACTGATGAGTACAAGTATTCACAAAATCACTTTTATATGACAATATATTATTTAATTTCTCATTATTTTGCCACCTACCCAAGAACACGGGGCCTGACACAACACAAGGTAATGTCCATGTAAAGACTGATAAATACTAAGATTTGATTCACTTTAAAGAGATGAAATGCTGAATTATACAGCAGCATATACAACATCCATGATATGTTTTACAGCAACTATCTTTTTAAAACCACCACATTTAGAATTTTCTGTAAAAATCAACTGCACACAATTCTATTATTAGTATTGAGAACAAGAACTTTATTTAAACCCAGATTTTAACCACAAGTTTTCCAAGGTACATATGACACCTGCTACAAAAATCACATGTTTGGTCACACTTACTCTTGCTGTGTTTTAATATTAAACAACTATCAGGAAGGACTATTTTACGTCTACAGACAATGCTTCCCTTAAAAAGGGGACATGAATTGTATATTCATGTAATATCTCAGGGCAGCCATTTCAAAGAACTTCTTCAACTGGAAACAGACACACTGAAGTATTTCATGGAAAGGCATATCTTACATTTTTATATTAGACTCAAAATTTTTTAACAATTCTCTAACTGAAGCATCAGTTTAATTCTCTCATTCTGAAAATTATAAACCCACAGGCAAATTAAATCGCTAAAATTGGAACAATATATTCTAATGCTTAGAGCATACAAGCATTTAAAATTAAAAAGGTGTATTTTTTATTTTTAGACAAGAAGTAGATTATATAACCATGTAGAGCTTCCTTACACAGCCAAAGAATTTAACAAGCATCTGTTTTCCAGCTCAAATGTGTGTGAAATATTAGGTGGATTTTTTCCAGGGTACATGCTGAAAACATTAAGGAGGCAAGATTTGACTGTCAGAGGTTTAACTGTTTTTTTCCAAAGTACAAAGACATAACCAAGTTAAAAGGTTACCTTTTATCACTACAAAGGTTTCAAATTAAACACTAGTCATAAGCCACAGTACTCTTAATTCTCTATTCAAAGCATGAGTATTTAAACAAGATTTTAAAATTAGTACTTTAACTGTAATATAGCTTGCAATACAAAATACTTTACATGTAGACTAATGGTACCTTAGAGTTAAAAACCCCTAAACCCTAAAACAGTAAAAAACACACAAAATTGTTGCTCAAGCAAAAGTAGGTCTAAACAAAAACTGTGGCTTTCTTTTATGCTGGATCAACTGGATCCTTAAGCCTCTAAAATACACCAAGCAGCTCTCTCTTGCAACTGCCTCATACTGGACAGGAAAAAACACTGCCGAGCTGTTCAGTGATGTGTAGGTTTACATGCTGCCCCTAACCCCCAGCACAGGTGAGCACCTTTCAAAGGAGAAGAAATACAAGCAGCTGTTTTAAAGACAGTAAAAACTTTCCCTCCATTATAAATTAACTTGATACTTGCTTTCAGTTTCCCTATAAAAACCTTGCCAAGGACAATAATGGCCTTGGTCAATCAGATGTGTGCTACCCAACTGTGTGCACTCTCCTTCCCAGGTACAGAGCGAGGGCAGGGAACCCTAGTTCTTCAGCTGTTGCATAGGGACAGAAGGGTGAAGGCAAATCTTAGGATTTGCAAGCATCTTCTTGTGGATATAAATGAAATAACTTTTTAAGTCTAGAAGTCCGTGCGAAGGAAAAAAGTCCATCACAGAAACCACCAACTGAAGTTCTTTGAAATATCTTGGTCTACACAGGGAAGAAAGACAGTCCAGAACCATAAAGGCAAGATGGGTGAGGAATTACACAGCGTGAAAAATGGACATGACATTGCAGCATCTGCCCAGATGAGAGGGTTCTCTCAAGTAAGAGTTAACACAGCAGAAACCAATCAATCCATTAGGCTGACCAGTATGTTGAGATCCACAATGTCACCCACATCCTGTGACAGAACCTCAACATTTCAATCACAGGATATTCATAGCTGTGGGAGAAACAGATGGTCTCTTTAAAGCAAAATATCTTTAGTGTCAACCTTCTGACAACTTAGGGCTCTTTAAATAGTGTAGACTAGACATTTAAAATGCCTACAAAGATCATTTTAGCACATTTACTCGCACAGAGGATGCTGCTGTAAATAAGGCTTTCCCCAAGATATTCTCCTCAACTCTTCTATAAAAGAGCAAGTAATCTTTTCTGTTATCACCAGCACCAGCTACCTTATAAACTAACTGAGAGCTTTTCTTATACCAGCACTGGGAGCCCTTATCTTCTCAGGGAAGTTAAATCTTATATTGGTTGATTATAGGATGTGCGCACAACGGCTGACATGGAACAGGCACATTCTCTTGTGAGTGAAAGACAACTGTTCTGTTCCAAAAGTCCGGGAATGAGCATGAGCTGCCAACCTGATGCAGCCAAGAAAAACCAACTGCGATCCTGAGATCACGCAGGAGAAGTACTTCTACTAAAGAAAGAGAACTGCTGTACCAGGCACTACCGTGAGACGTATCTGGAGTGCTGCATACAAGTTTCATCACTCATGTTTAAGAAATGATGGGAACTAATGAAGAAATGAGTAGGGAAAACAGAGCCCAACCTCTAACAGAAGGTTGGACAAGAACTTGTCTAATTTAGTCTAACAAAACAAGAAAGTTAAGAAAGGATATATGATCGCTGTCACTAGATGTTTCATGAGAGCAATAATCTATTTAAACTAGAAGTTAATGCTGACACAAGGAAAAAAAAAAAAGGCACACATAGCCATTTGTTATCTCTGAAAACTCCTGAAAGGCAGATGATGTTCTAGAAGGCCGAAAGAGGAAAGAGTAAAGCCCATTATAGACTAGTTAGTTTTTACTCTGGTATTTTTTCCAGAAACTGCAAGCACCTAAAACATAACTTCAAACAGCCTACTGGCACACCACAATCAACACGGATCTGTCATCAACAAGGTGTGTCAGACCAACCAAATGTCTTTCTGTCACAGGATAACAAGTCCTGTGGAGAAGGGAGAAGTGGTCAATATCACATCTCACATAACTTTCAGAGAAACAAACTAGAAAAAGAACAGTCTTGCTGTTTCAGAAAAAGGAATGTATTGTAATTCATGAAATTACCCATTAGTTATCCATAGTACTAGTCAATATTTTTGTTCAGCAATCTATCTACCCTAACTGTTGAAGATATCAGACATGTAGGCAAGCATGCCTGAAGGGACCACAAAGCATTCTGAAAAACAGGATTGGAGACAAAAAGTTATTTTATATAAATTATCAAAGTGGTGCATAATAATAGAATGGAAAACAATGATAAAGCAAATGTATGACCTTTGGAAAGACTAAGGTCATTTGATACAGACTAGAAACCATCCTGCTAGGAGGCAGAAATGGTACTAAACTGGCTGTATTGTTGTAACAAATCCTGATCAGTATCACACAGATGAAAAAACCCTAGCATCACGCTGACATGTCTAAACAGAAGCACAATACATAACACACATTAAGTAATCCCCATTTAGGCCAAAGTCTTGTCTGAAGTACTGCATTCATTTCTGAGCACCAAAAGAAACAGGTCATCCAAGCAGTCCGAAGGAGAACAGTAAGAATTATCAGAGCCATAAAACACACCTCCAGTGAGAAAAGGCCAAGAGAAGTCTATTTCTGTAGTCCAGACAAGTCACAGGCAAAAGGAAAATAGCTTTTTCATTGCTGCAAAGACAAAGGGGCTACACTGATCTGATCTCCTCTCGAACAAGACAAATAGTACGGGGATTAAGAAATACCAACTGTACAAGAGAAAAAAAATAAATGAGAAATTAAGTACTGGCATAGGCTTCCTGGACAGATGACATCACATCTTTTATTTCAGAGTTTGTTTGCTTTTTAATCACTAGCCAGGAACTCCCTAACTGATTCTGCTTTAGATAAAGTGCATGGATGAAAAAAATCCCTAAAAATTATTTCTAGTCCTCTTTCCATAAAACAATTAATTTGACATTGTGGTCAGTAATAGTGCAATGCCGCACTCGCTGAAGCAGGGGGCACCTTCCAGTGTTTAAATGAAGAGCGCATTCTGGGTTAAGAATTAATTAAATATTTTTATAGTGTAGATATAGTAATATTATCCAAATAACATACAAATAATTCTTTTATTGTTATCTTTATAATAAATAAATTTATTAAAAATAGACTACAGAATTAATCACGCTAAAACAAAAATAGCCAAGAAAATACTGACTTGCTGTAAGGCAAATTCTAGCCATTTTTGAGCTTCCAGAGCATGGAATGTTGTATAAAACGCTTCCCAATTTAAAAAAAAAAAATCCTTACTTTCCCTCTCCAGAAACAGTTTCAGTTCAAATACCCACACTCCAACAACTGCTCTTGTTCTCTTGCTGGCAATATCATCACTGTGGCTGCTGTCAAATGTTTTTCACTTCCAGTTCAGAATGTCTGGGCCTTACACTCTCCTCTCAGCATCAGAAATCGTGGGCTTGGCATCACCGTTACATTTTACATGATTTCACAAGTCTGGGATCAGAAGTAGAATATCTATCAATAATTTAGTAGTGAAATAATTCTGGAAGATAGGCTCCTGAACGTAAGTGTGATGGGAATGCCAATATCAAAAAGAAACAGCTAAATAATCGAAGTAGCAAATTTCTAGTATCAGGTGGAACAACCATGCACTGCACAACACAGTTTTGTATAGATACCAAGTATTCTGACAGGCTTGATTTTTCTTCCCCTTAAACTAGTGCAATTACTTATCAGCAAATATCTCATACAGTGCAGTCACAGGCACACACACAGAAATCGATCAGTGTTATCAGTTGTGTTGGATCACAATAAAATACTAAATAGAGAATAACTTCAAGCTGCCATAAGTAGTAAATTAATTAAAATTTCATAAACATAAGTAATTAATGATTAATAATTTATTCATAATTCCCAGTTTATTCATAAACTGAATTCAGTTCATTCCTAAAAATAAGAAGTAATTCACGATTAGGGGACTGAAGCACCTCTCCTACGAGGAAAGGCTGAGAGACCTGAGCTTGTGTAGCCTGAAGAAGAGCAGGCTGAAAGTGGATCTTATAAATGCCCATAAATATCTTACGGGTTGGTGTCAAGAGGATGCGGCCAGACTCTTTTTAGTGGTGCCCAGCAACAGGTCAAACCCCGCCCCCCCCTCCCCCCACTCCAGCACTTTCTGAACGTGATCAAGACTCAAATGTTATTTATACGCCAGCAGTGTAACTTTACTCAAAGAATCAAATTATAACAGGCTTATTAGAAGCCCTAGAGTTGTGAAGTTGAGGTAGTTTATATTTTAAAGACTGCACATTTTGGCACTGTCATCTGCCAAGGTCTCCCGCTTTACTGACCAGTTTAAAAGATACATGCAGTTAGACCAATGTGGGCCAAATACAGTATTAAAAATATGCAAAACAGCCTGCAGTAACAAGTCCAGTACCTGATTTCTTGGCTGTACTTTGCACTCCTCCAGCACCAGGACTCCCAGGAGAGCCAGTCTTTTTGCTCAAGAGGCTGTTAAAGAAACTAGCCAGGACGCCTTCACTTGCAGCATTATCTAGATAAAAAAACATATATAGAGATCACAGAATAGTTACTGCTGGTAAACAATAGAACTTAGTTTTTATACACATACATAACTCTCTTACCAATCAAAGAAATAAACCTCAAATATGAGAGTCTCTCCTCACTCCGTTTCAAGACATTAGTCCTTTACATTCGTTGACAAAGTCAGAGATGACTGAAAGCATAGTATTGCTCTTCTGGAATGAGGGGGTGTCACAAAATTTTAATCTAAATATTTGTATGCTTTTGTTTTTTTTAAATGTAGAAGCCAAGAAACAAAGTATGAAGTATTGATGTGCAATTCAAGGATTTCTAAGTCCATTAACAAACTGCAGACATTTCAGTGCAGTCTTTCATGCCACACTACTTTTCATAAATCAGAACCTGGATATAGGGCAACGAGACACGATCCAGAACTGCCTGAGTATTTACCCACTGTAAGTGAGGTATGCCAGCACAGCGCATAATTAAAAACAACACCGGCCCTACCACCTTTCTTAATGCACAGAGAGGAAACAAGCCACCAAACAACCTGGAGCTCCATATTGGGGCTGAGGGAGGTGAAAGAGTGCCATTTCCAAGTTACTTCAGGTACTATTGCAAATGGCATTCTAGAGAATGTTTCATAGAAGAACAGGTTTCATTGTGGATTCCAGAATAAGTGATACGAAGTATAAAATTGCGTGTAGTTTAAAGCAGTCCTCACTCTAATAATCCGACTGCTGCATAATAAAATTCTTCAGGCAACTTAAGGAAATAGTGTATTTGAACTCTGATTGCTTGGCAATAATAGAACCCTACTTCAGCTGTACTTCAACTCATATGAATGACTTAAAAAAAAAAAAAACAGGAAAAAAATAACAGAAAACCTGAAGCTATGTCATAATTTCATTCCTGTTACTAAACTAACTATACGATAAGTGAATAAACTCCAAAATTTTTCTACTGAAGAGAATTTTTTTTTTTTTTAGGGAAATAAAACATGATAAAAACTGCAAAATGCTTATTCATACTTTTAATATTTGGATCTGGTTTCTTAACTGATGTTATTGGTGAGGCACTCGGTACATTGGCGGGACCAGCTCTGCCTTGAGTTCTTGGGGATCCTGCTGGGCCTCTTGCAGGAGATTCCTTAAAATAGTCCAAATCACACAAATCAGAAACTTCAATGGATTAGTTACATAAAGCAAATGTAGTATTACATACAAATATTTTTTAAGCTTTTATATTGGCACTGTAGTGTATGCGCACTGGGGAAAAACCCCAAACAAAAAATCACCAGTTATTCTGGGCGTGTGCCTCCAATAAAAGAAAGAATGAATCACTGCAGGAAATTTTCAGTTGAATAATCATCAGATATTTCTACGTTTCCACAGTGATGTTATTCGTAAGCAACATTTTAAAATACTGCCACTTTTTAAAAAATTTACTTTCTACGTTTTGGGGAGATGATGTATTTTACATTTACATTTACAAAATGAGCCTCTCAGGTTAGAATGACTCCCTCTTCCCTAGAAAGAAACAAACCACCTCCTACTCTTCTCTTGGATCTACTTACTGATGCTCTTGTAGGCGTTGCTGGCTGTTTGGCAAGGAATGACTGCAAAACCAACATATTAAGAATATTAAATATATTTCAGCAAATATAAAAGAATAAAATAGAGTGACACTAACCATTAATTTATTTGATTTTTTTTTGCTCATATTTACTCGTTTCCTCTTTGACATTTATATACTTCCAGACTTTGCCACTAGAGGACAGAGTTAAAACGAGTAAATAAGCTTCAGTCTTTGTCTTACACAACCATTCCAGAACCCTAAGCCAGAATCATGCACATGCAAGTCTGCAACCTCTATGATATTTATGACCAGCTATACAGGAAAGTACTATTAGTTCTTTTAAACAACAGAGCAGTAAAAAAAACCCAAAACACCCAAGACACAGCACAGCCAAATTTGACGCCTTAAGGTCTTTCAAGCCTCTAGCTGTAAGAAAACTGCAACGCTAAAAAATTATGTTTTAAAAGTATTTATATTTTACAGATCAACACATTTATGTTATGTAATTTCAAGTTATCTTCTTGTTCTCCTCCCTTGAAATGCAAATTATTTCTGTTCTCAACATATTTTCCTTTCAACTTGCCAAGATAAGTGGCCATATTTTCTACTCATATTCGTTAAAATAAAGAAAAGCCTTATTTCACAATTTAATCTGAATTTGCAAAGCTGGAAAGTGACTATCTAGTGATTTAAACGAGGAATGAAGAACTGAAGGCATTAACAATGAAGAGCTTAAAGTGAGGTCTTACTTAGTAAGGACTTATTTTCATTCTTCCATTCTTACCTGCTGCTTCATAAGAAACACTTGTTCATCTTCTGCTGCCAGCTCTTTATCATGGACTAACTGTTGAACAAAATATTTTGTTAATAGAAGTAAAAACTGAAATTACTGTAGCTGTTTTTATGTTTCGGTGATCAAAAGGGAGGAAAGAGGCAAATCTTTAATGCCATTCTTTACTTTTTTTTTTTTTAAAAAACATTCTTATTTCACATTTAAAAGAGTAGTAACATTAAAGAAGTTGTTATTAAAAAAAAAAAATTGTAAGTGGATGGAGTAGACTAGCATTGATGCCAGCCTGTGGGTTTTCTCTTAGAAAGATGAGTATGTGGTTAAGTAGCCGCATTAATCTTTTTAAGTTTAGTTATTAATCTCCTCAGCATCTCTTCAAAGACCTTAGCTTACCTTACCCCATACAACCCCACGCTCAATCTCTCAGCCTCCAAAAGCATTATGCTAGCTCTTACCACTCCTAACACTACTGTCAGGAAATTATTATTTCCTACAGGTGCCATGAGTTACAAACACCAGGATTAAAAGTTTCCCTTACATGGAAGCTTCCAACAGCTCTTCCCTTTTCCAAATACTGGGGCCTGAGCTAGAAACATTAAGTGTTTAAGAAAGCTGTAGAAGAAGATTTCCAATACAGATTATAATACAATCTCACATACAATTTTCTGTATTATCTATTTTACTCATATTCTATCCCTGTGGAGTTCTTCAATATTAATAGTTATGAGTAGCCATTCAAGCAAGCTATACTTATTTGTCAGGGGGGCAGGGAAGAGTTTACCCCTTTTTACCTTTCTTACAGGAGGTTTTACAATGAAGTCCTCATATGCATCTTCTGGTTTCACTGTTGTGAAGTTTTCATGTAAAATGGCAATTTTCTTTTCATTGTCCCAACCAGCAGGTCTATAAAAAGAAGGAAAGCTTTGCCTTTTCAGTCACAAAAAGCACTTCTACAGAGACCATTTATTTACTGTCCTCTACCCAAGTAATGCAATTTTATTATAGGTCAGTCCTAATTCTCGGCTAAATTTCAAAGATACTAAAAAGCTGGTATGGTATACTCTGAATCAAGTAACCCAAGTAAAATGCACTAAGTTGCTTTTTTAATTCCGTATTTTGGAATACTCACATACTAAGCCTTTGAACAACACAAACTGTTCCAGTTATTTTTACATATGTTCCATGAAGTTTAGTGCTTAACAGAAAACAATAGAAAACATACTGCTTATACAATTGACTTACATAAAAACTGCATCCTTCTCTACCACTAAGGCAGGTGTGGTAAACTGAAAACCGTATGTTTTATGTACAATGTACTTATACAATAGATCAAGGTTCTTTTCCTCCTTAACTGATGTATAAATCAAGGCAGCCCCATCTGATTGTTTATTTAAGGAAAATTCTGTAAGATACAGTTTTTAAATTAAAGCAAGAATTTCAAAACAGGAGCTAATGGACATGTATCTACTAGATCTAATTTTGACAAGTAGCTCACAACAAAAGCTATAGCCATTTCTGATTCAGGGCCAGGAAGGGGGTATAACAGCAGCAGACTCACGATCATTCTCTTTGACATACACGACAGTTACCTACCCTCCCAGGCACTTAACTTTGAAAAAGTCAGAAACTTAAGTGACAGCTGAGATCTCAGGTTTACGTAGAAATTGCAAGTTCTGAGGGAAAAACAAGAAAGAACACCTCACAAAATGTAAGACAAATGCTTCATAAAGGATCAAAAGCTCCAAATCCCACGCACAATTTTAAAACTATAAAAAGTTTCATACATCTCTCAACATTTTCAAAACAACAAATGTTACATAGTAAATAACTAAATACCAAGCAATCTTGAAGTGCAGTTTCTCAGATTAACTTTATGTGCAATTCAACACTGAAACGTATTTTCTTGCGTCCAGATGACGGCAAATCTCTTCAGAGCAAGAAAGGATACATTGTAAGCAGAATCTACGAATGTGTGACTGAATGAAGTCAAAATGTTCTTCTCTGTAATCATGCTCCTTCTCTAGTACGCTCACTGCGTCGCACTGGAAGAACGGGCAGGAAAACAAAACAAAACTAGCATTTAATCCCAGCACTTCTTAAAACATTTTCCTTAATATTACACACACATATTTACTTCGAGCCTTTGGTTTTAAAACGCCACCGATAATCAAAAGATAAAGTAATTAACATATAATTGATAAGGTTATTAACCTTCTGCAACATTAAAAATTGACACAGATGGCAAAAGCTTACTTTTGAAATAAATCACTAGTAATCCACAATTCATTTTGCATGCTGTATAAAGCATGCCTTCTAAAAAAAAAGTAATTAAAAACTTCTCCATAGTAGCGAACAGAGCTAGAAACTCACTTTCGTACAAACTACCAGCACAGGAATACCAAGGTTGCGAGTCAGCACATTTTCTCCAAGTGGCAAAGAAACATGTTCATCCTCTTGGCCAGAAGAAGGGCCTCTTCTCTGCGGTGATCCTTGGTAGCCTTCTTCAGGTTCTACATACTCTTGAAACTCCTTTATAACTATTAAGACAGAAGTCATCTTCAGGTACAACAACGGAACTAGTTCTTCTTTTTAAACCATAATTGATCTGTGACTAACCAGAAATCTGCTTTTTTTTTTTTTTTCTTTTTATAACGAGGCACTACATGAGAACAGGATGCAAGCTTAAGCTTTGTCGCCCCTTTAAACACAATTCAGCCACTCTTTCTTATGAGCTATTATTCAATTTCAGTTTCTATTACTCTACACTTCTGCTGGAGGAGTCCAAATACTAGATATATAAACATACACCGCATAAATACAGACTCAACGACTTCTAAATATTACCTGAAGAGATTCAGTTATACTCTGGAAAATTACAATGGATTCCACAGGAAATTAGATGCTTTCTATGTTTTCAGTGTTTTAATTCTATGTCAACAATGAGCGTTGCAATAATACTGAATACCATCAAATACTGAAGTGCCTAAGAAATAGTATTAACACCATTCTGGAAGCATACTGTGACCCCACATGTGCTTTATCAAAACTGGGCCGCAACTTACAGCTTTTATGTCTTTTTTTCAGGATGAAAACCCCAGACCAGATCCATCTGCCTCCTGGATGTGCCTACTCCCTGACACAGCACTTCCCGAAGGCCCAGCGCTCTCCCTCCCATGACAATCCTGCCTGAAGCCTCCTCCTCCTCACTAAGCCATGAGGAGAGCTCAGGAAAGAGGCAAGCAAAGCTCCACGATTCTCTCCCATGAAGGCATCTTTATTTTGGAAACAGTGGGAGCAGGCTGACTGCACGTACAGTAAGGAAAGCTCTTTGAAAAACCTCCCACCCTCTCGCACATTCACAAAGAGAGTGTTGTTCAGTATATCCATCCGTGTGACAGGGAAGGAGCTGCAGGCCATCTGATACTTCTGAGGTTTAGGAAGTCGTCAAACCTCAGACAAATTTATAACACTAATCATGCAAAATGAAGTCACTGTACCTTTTCAAAACAGGAACCATTCCTGCAATAGAATAGGCATGTGGAAGGAAGAACAAATCAGAAACACACTTCTGTTCCAAGCTGCACAATCTACAGTTTCTATATAAATATAAAATCATGTGATTCTTGTGGAAAACAAGGGAGCCCCAGTCCAGAGAAAAGCTTAAAAAACCCCATCAGATAGACCACAAGACTTTCAGCCACCAATTCAACATATCCCAAGGTCCGAGGAAATAAAAAAAAAATTTTTGAATGCATTTGCTTTTAAACTTGGGGAGGCAGTGCCTTCTGGTGGAGAGGAAACAGCCATGCTTTCAAACAGATGCTTTCCTCTAGTACTGTTTCATACCCAGCAACTGGAAATGAAAATTCCATTCCAGGTGCTGTCAGAGTACCTCTTATGAACAAGCTGCATATTAAGTAGCTAATAAAGCCCACTTCACTTAAAGTGTTTCTTTGTCACACAGCAATTTAATAATTCTCTTTACCTCCCATATCTATTTCTCACTTGATCTCCACTCTCAAACTTTTAATGGACATAAAGTTCATCATGCACACAAACAGCTTGCATAAATCTTTTATTTTTCCCTTTTTTTCTAGTGAGCTGTGAATATTTTCTCCTCCACATAATTCACATTAAGGAATCACATTCCACGTGGTATGGGAAATAACTTTTTTTTAATTAAAAAGTAGGGGAAAATGACTTCGGTTTAATTTTTTTTGAACAGGAAATACAGATAGAATGATGCACATAAAATCTAAAGCCAGAAAAACAATTGTTCATCTGACAAATCAGTAATATTCTGCTAGCTATCAGGAAGGTCGAGTACTAGGAATGACCTATTACATTTGAAAAACTATCACCAGGTTATGATAGGTTATAAAAATTACACCTCCGCTACAGTGTGCTAATTTATCTACCAAACTTCTGGCTCACCTAGGTAAAAAATCTTTTATGTGGACTTCTGCATTTAACACAGCAAACAAAGGCAAGTTTCCAGTTAACTGTTTTCATAGAATCATAGAATCATTGAATGGTTTGGGTTGGAAGGGACCTTAAAGATCATCTGGTTCCAACCCCCCTGCCATCAGCAGGGACATCTTCCACCGGACCAGGGTGCTCAGAGCTCCATCCAACCTGGCCTTGAGCACTGCCAGGAAGGGGGCAGCTCAGGCACTGGCAGGCTGCTATAAGGTCACCCCAGAGCCTTCTCTTCTCCAGGCTGAACAGCCCCAACTCCCTCAGCCTGTCCTCATAGGAGAGGTGCTCCAGCCCTCTGATCATCTTCGTGGCCCTCCTCTGGCCCCGCTGCAACACATCCACATCCTTCCTATGTTGGGAGCTCCAGGGCTGGATGCAGGACTCCAGGTGGGGTCTCACAAGAGTGGTGTAAAGGGGCAGAATCCCCTCCCTCGCCCTGCTGGCCACGCTTCTCTTGATGCAGCCCCAGATACGGTTGTCTTTCTGGGTTGCAAACGCACATTGCCTGCTCATGTTGAGCTTCTCGTCCACCAGTATCCCAAGTCCTTCTCCTCAGTGCTGCTCTCTATGTCCTGCAGCTCATGCGAACACCCGGCAAGGTTCCTGCTCCGCCGGTGAGGCTGCAGCACCGTGGAGCCAAGCCCTCCACCCTGTGCACCGATAATGAGGCTCAAACCGAGGTGATAAATAATATTTACTACTGTACCTCCTAGTCGCTGCTTTTCCTCAACCCGAATAACTAATGAAACTCAATTGAGCATATTAATTATTTTCCCCTGGGAGTGAGTTTTGTTCTCATGTTACTGCTTATTTACACAAGCTCCTGAAAGCTGACTATAATAAGAACAGATGTACCATTCATGTCACGGGAGCAACTGACTCGAAGTACCACCAAGAAAGCAATCCACAATTATTCTTAGGTTTGGTTGTTCTAGTAACCACGCAATCCTCAGTCTTGGAGTACTGCTTAACTGCAGCACGGAAGTGGCAGACAAACACTACAACTTACTTAACTAGACACATCACAGAAGCACTGAACAGCAGAACAAGGCAGAAAACTTTTCCTATCCAATCATTCTATATTTACACTCTACAACCAATTCATGCAGCTTTTAGCTTTTCTGTACACTATCTTTACTGATCATAAATTTTAGTCTTGTGAAAAGAATTCCTGGACAAAAGATGTCTGGGCAAAGCAAGTTTTTCTTCTCTTTTAGCTTAACAATTCTTTCAGTTATATGCCAGACAACAAAAGAAAAAAAAAAGAAATAAGGCAGAGATCCTGACACTAACTCAGCTTGAACAGGATACTACCTAATTTTCAGAAAAGTATGTTCTTTTGTTTCAAGTCTTTAGCTTCAAATACTCCAGAGGACATTTTTATAATAGCATTTTACCAGTATACTTCCTTTCTGCACTTCTTGATTCTTGACAGTCGTCTTCTCTGCTTTGCTGTCATAAACAGGGAGGCAAAATTTAGATCTTCCCTGAAATAATTATTCAAATGTGTGTTATTTAAACAATGATTGATCATAATTGAGCCTGAACTAAATTACAACATTTGAACTGACATTATTTATCTGAATCCACACTAGTCAAGCTTTTAGCAAGGAATTTCCAGAGCAGCTCAGCGATAGGAGTGAGTGCAGACAAACAGCGCTCCTAGTATACTCTGAGTAATTCAGTTTCTTTCAAGGCAGCCTGTTGCTTCCATGTGTGTGTCCTACCTTCCATTCTGGAAGCTCTTTAACACAAAAGGAAAGCTTCTCATATACCAGATGGAGCCTAGCGTCATCCACCCAGTAAAGGCAAGAGTCAGGATCTCAAACAGCAAACACAAGACAAAAGGCTGGGTGTGGAGAAAGGCCACGAAAACCTTGAAAGCAAAGGCAAGCTGTCCAAAGTTCAACTCCATTAAGAACAGTGAGCGAACAAAAGGACTTCTGGGAACTGGTAACAAGATCCTAGTAATGGAGAAAGAACAACCTAGCAGCGCTTTAAATGGATGCTAATGGGATAATACCAGAAAGTATTTCCTCAGAGTCAACAAGAACTACTGGTTACTGGTACTGAGCATAACAGCTAGGGAAAGCGCTGTGGACCTTCAGCTTGGTCTGCACACCCCAGCTTACAGCTGGAAGCAAGCGTAAGGGAATATGGTTCTACAAGCTGAAGTCAAGAAACATATACATCCACGTGGTGTTATGCTGCAGCAGGGCTTTGCTGGAACGCATTTTGCACACCTCTTCATTCTGCACCTTGTTTCCATGTTTTGACTACCTGCTTTGCATATGCGCTTCATTATCCCAGTTTTTTCATACCCGGGCTATTGCAACACCGCAATTCTCCACTTTGTAAGCAGCAGCTTATCTCGGGAAGTGTACACAGCAGGATTTTAGTGAGGAAAACTTTGCTGGTGTAGCTTCATTGACGGACTGCAGTCACAAGGCATTCTTCAAGCATGTGTGCTCTACGTTGTCTAAGCAGTTACATCAATATGGCCACAGTTATAATAGGAATTACTTTTAGCATAATTTGCTATTAACAGCATTACAAGCTATGGTGCCCAAAGTTTTGAGTGCAGATCTGGCCTTATGGACAGTCTGCAAGAACTCTGAAGACAAGCATCTGAGATGACACAAGTGTCCTACACAGTGACAGAGAAAAGGAGCAAGATGGAGGTTTGGGCGTGCAGACATTAACGCCCCTGTTTTACTTCCATGCTGATACTGACCAACATTCACCACTCTGTCATAGGATGGCAGCAGAGTCCAGCTCCTCAATTCTCCTTTTCCCTGACTCTTAAAACACAAGAGAAACTAGGAATTTCTACAATACTTTAATTTAGAAAACTCTAAGACAGTACTATTGGAATGTTTTCTAAGTTCCCCAAACATGGTGCTACAGCTTTGTCATAGCCATAACTGGCTCCTCCACACAGTACACTCACTGTTAGTGACGGCTAAGAACACTTCTCTCTTCAAAAGTAAAATTCAAGTGCACAAACTCCACATTTATTTGGATTTCCACAAAATTTGGTGTATCTCAGAAAAGCGCAAATCAGGCTAGCTACTGTATTTTGAGAGTAGAACCTGCCTTTCCATCTCCCATTCCCAAAAAGTCTCTCACATACAAAAAAGAAAGAATGTTTTTTTCCTTTAAAACATGTCAGATTTTTTTTTTTTTTTAAATATAACCTGGTGATCAAATGTTTCAGTCATTAAGTTTAAACTCTAGCTAGCATGCTGTAGGCACAAGCGTTTTGGCAAAGTGCTGTATAACATTCAGAAAGAATATCAGCTATACAAACACATCTGAATGCTCACATGCCAAACACATTACACTGCTCCCTAAAGCGAATCTAAGGAAGCTACTGAACAGTATTTGCAAGGTCTAAACACTCCCATCCAGCTAGCCACCAGCTCTGAACAAAAGCAGCAACCAGCAAGGACCAGGCTGAAATCTATACTTCAGCTGAAAAGGAATGCATGTTGTTTTCCACTGAAGGAATTTATTTTGCAGTAATTCAACATGAAATCAGAATAAACCCTGAAGAAACATTCAAAACTATTTTAGGAAGGAACAGAAGCTGCAGGAAGCACCACTGCAGCAATGACTGCTTGCCAGTGCCAGATTCTTTCCTGCCACAGATATGCCAGGAAAGAAAGTTCATTTATACAACACTCCTGAAGTCACAGGGTAGGAACGGCTGTAGTGAGAGACAATTAGATGTACCAGGATCACAGTCTGAGGCTCGTAAAAAATAAGGGCAAGAGAGACCTACTGGAAGATAAATACAGCATGGGAATGGCACCTGGCTTCGATACCACAGGAAAGCAGACAGCTTGCTTCGTTACCAAATTTTGTCACTATTTTTAAAAATGTGATTCTGTATGGAGTCAGGTTTTTTTTAAAAATTGGCCTTTTTAAAAATCAAATTATCAAAATCTCATTACTGCAAGGGATTTAGACCATTAATTACCTGATGTTTTGTTAGCACAGCACAACTGGAAGAGTTGTTTTAAAGCCTAAAACAGTCTATTTGAATTACAGTTGTAATCACAAGTTCAAAGTAATTCTTATCCAACCCATTCTCAGAACGCTAATCTGAAGAAATTTATCACTACAGAAGAAAGTTGCAAGAGCTAGATAAAAAAAAAAAACAAAAACAAAAAACAAAACCAAGACAAGAATGTATGGACTTACACTTCTGTTCCATGTCTCTCATGTCTTCTGGAGGAATTTTCATCTTATCAATATGTTCTTGCAAGACACTGGCCCATTTCTGTAAAGACTCCATAACAGTCCAAGGTCTAGACATATCTGCAACAAAGACTACAATGGTGTCTTGCAGGGATTCTGCAGAAACTGCAAACTTCAACAGCCCTTTATGGTATAAGTCTCCATCCAGAATCCAAACGTTACAGCGAGTATGATCTGAAAGGAAAAGGTACAGCTGTAACTCAGCAGATGCCAACTTTTTGCTTTGCTAGTCTACAAGCAAACAGACAAGTACACTAGTGTTAAATGAAAGACCAAAGCCCAGCTACCAGCAGATCTTGCCTGTTTATTTTTAACACAGGTGCATGTGTGAACGCCCACATTACTCGGTAGATTCTTTCATTTAACAAGATTTTCCTTGGTTCAGAATCTTTTCATTGAAAAAAATTATTTCTGTTCTTTGGCTTTTACTAAGGACAGCTGACACAACAATTCAGCATTTCGGAACCTGAAGTAGGTATACTGCAAGTACAACCAGAATACAGGTGACACATAAGTAACTCCAGGTTCAAAAGGGGGTGGTTGTAGCCGAGTCCAGCAGAGAAGCCCTGGGTGTTCCTCAGACACATAAGCTGGTTTAACATCTCACAACAGAAATAAACTGCAAACAAGATACAAGCAATAAGCAGCTTAGGTTTCTAGCACAGGAGCAGGAGGAGGAAACACACAATAAACTTACAACTACCATATTTTAAAGTTGTGCTACCTGCTCTTAATTCACACTGACTTCTCTCCTATTTGCAGACTCCTTACAGAATGAGTACTGGACAAACGATTTGGTATTTTAGTTTTTGAGTTTCGTGTTCCCCTCCCCATGTTTTGATAACAATTGGATAATTTTTATTGAAGTGCAAGGCAGGGAGGTGGGGAAAATCAGCTGGGACAGACAGCTGGCACAAGAAGTTGTACCCCAAAGATGAACTTTGGCAAGAATAGAAGAAATTGACAATAGAACATCATCCAGGAATGATGTATCAGGTACTATGAACAACCAATTCTGTCCAAATTAAAAAAAGAAAATAATTACATTATCCTAGAACTTCCTCCTGAAAAAGAACAACTCCATTTGTTTCTACCTTCTAGACTCTTCCTAGTACCTCTTCCAAAGTATTCCCTATGCCACTACAGCTGTTCAGAGGGAACCGTGGGTCTCCATAGGTATTACATACAAGACACGTGAATTCTGAAATACATGGATCAGCAACCAATCACCACAGAGCCCAGATTTTCAAAACAGCTACTGAGCTTCATAATTTCTCTGCCTCACCACATTTCCCTGCCCTGTGCTCCATATCTTTTACCTTCACAAATTAAATCCAGTTGCTGTGGCTATCATTACTTTAAGAAAGAATCCATCAGGATCAAAAACACCGGCTCTAGAAAAAGGCAAAAACTTGACTACAGAAATTGGAAGGAGAAAAGAGTAGAGAGACATACACACTACCTTTCAAATCAGGTCTTGTGTAAAATTACTGAACAGCCAAGTTATAGACAGATTACACCAAGATGCTATATGTGGGGAGTCTTCATTTAGCATGTTATGCTCCTACTTAGGCACTGTTAGGCTGTCACAAGACATTCAAACATCAGCTATCACACTAATAGGCCAACAGTTATATTTTTAACTTACAGATCTTCTTACTCCCAACTGTGCATCCCAGACCCGCCCTCTGCACCAAAAGGTTACGATAATCGTTGTGCAGCTAAGAAATGCACCTTCGCAAATTCAGCGATTGTTTCCCCCCTTCCTCCCCCCCGGCCCTGCTTCAGGAAAGCGTCTCACTGATACCGCACAGCACTGCATGTACAAGACCAAGGCTATCGCAAGGCCTCTAAGGACAGCAGAAAAGTATGGTAAAAGTCTGGAAAAACAGAAAGGAACAGCTAGGACATAACGTGAACACATTTACACGTTTGCTATTACATAGCAGTAAATGAAGCATTTATGCAGGACTCTGCTATCCTCTGCATTCCAGAAGCATCTTTTGTATATTCCCAAAAGCAGAAATCTACCACTGAATAAAAGCCCTGTGAGATTTCTGAGTTAAAGCTATTAACAGATTAATAGACACTAACTATGACTAGGCACAACTGTCTCCTTGAAGCAAACATTAAAGTTCTAAAAACCTAACTTGTCTACCATGGAAGTTCGTAAGTGTCATCAGCACTTTCACAGTTTCTCCTGTGGTGAGTGTTTTGATCGCAGAAAAGACTTTTTCACACCTTTGCAATTAAAAAAAAAAATTAATAAATATCCTAATTCACTGCTTCTCAGTCACTCTCCAAAGCCACTATCTAGAGGTTACAAAGGTTTTGTTTGCTAAACACCTTTGTCCTATTTAAGGATTTAGTTTCTGCTTAAGATCTAGAATACAGACTGGAACTAGAATAGAGGTAGAATTAGAATGCAGTTGGAACTATCACTCAAATGAAATCAACCTGCTAGGAAGACTAGAACTCTAGCACTCACATTAAAATGTACTTTAAAAAAAAAATATTGTAGGACAATGAAAGGTTTTCCTCCTTTGTTACAGTAAAGAGGTATGGCTTGTGATTTACATTTGCTACAAATACAAAACACGCTTAAAAATACAGTACTAGTTGTTTATCATTTGGCAAGGACTTGATGGCAAATTCAACTTTGTCAGCACCGCATCAAGCTCCTCGTTAGTCATACGATGTGAATGTTAACCAGGCCCTTCATAGTGGCTATGACATGAAACCAAAACAGAGCAAACAATTACCAGATTCTGTTGGAAAAGCAGGTGCTACTCATTAATGGCTATTACAATAGCTGCTCAAACTACGTTTCTAAAACCTGTCAGCATTTCATTATCCCTTTAGCCACGAAAAAGATTTTCCAGCTTTGATGAATTTTACTGCAGATTATTGATTCTGAACTGCAACTACATCTCCTGCAATTATTCAAAAGGTATCAGTGATAATTAGATATGCCTTGTCCAAGGGGTGGAAGCAGAACAGGGAAAAAGAAGTTTTAAGAGAACTACTTTAAAGATGTTGACAAAAAAACCCCAATTTTCCCATTAGAAACCAGTGTACCAGCAGCACTTGGCTCAATCTGGAACAACCAGTTCAACTGGAATATGAATATGATATCACTGAGGCCAGACCAAACCTGAGGCAAAAAAACAAGACTACTTCATTTTGTTACAAGTACAAACGTAACAAAAGAATGCCTCTACTTCTCTGGGACATTTGGCACAGTCAGGACAACTGTATTGCATTTGTAATCTGAGGCAGCTCCACTGAAAGTTCTCTGTGGTGTTTGTAATCACCAGCTAACCCATCCAGTATTGCTACAAAACCAGTTGATGTAGTTTGTCTCACTGTCTTGCTGTACATTCTCATTTTAACTCTGCCCCATCACTGCAAGAGACTCTGAAAGCTACTCTAGAAACACATACCCTTTAACAAAATTATGCAGAGCCTCTCTTCTACATCCTACAAATTAAGATACTCAGCTCTCAAAAGCAGACTAACCAGCACAGACATAAAGCATCTGCCCCTCACAAACAGAAAGGCAAAAAATTAAAACTGACCACACTCCCTGAGAAACTCCACTAGCAGAGGCGTTTAGGGCCTGGGCTAGGTCATTTAATATTCTGAGTTAACTTTACAGCTAGTGCTATAGGTGCTTTCATCCAGAAGAACTATGGTGTCACAGATGCAGAAGCAGCCATACGCTCCAAGCATATTGTACCTAGGTCTAATGATCTAGGAGAATCCTCTATCCCCCAGGACTGCTTCTCAGGCGGCCCCAAATCTCTTCTTGAACAAAGGCCTTAGCCTAGGCAAGATCTGGGATGGTACCCTAGGAATCAGATTTTTCAGGCAGAGATTCAGCAGCGGACTTACTCCGAGTTATCCTGAGATGCAGGGACCAAAGCACTGCATGTTACATCGAACAACTAACATCTAACAGAACTGAACCAGCTAATTACCAACGCAGTGGTGACATGTATCTTGCCATCCGAGCTAGTTATCAGCCACTGTCAAGAAACTAGCAGACAACAATGAAAACCAGAAAGTTAGTGGGCACCTGTATTAGCCACAGGGGTCCTTCAAAAAAAAGTTATTTTCTATGCATTTGTTTAACTTTCCCATAAAAAAAAAGAACAATTTAATGTTTAGGGGAAAAGACAAAAGTAATTGTAAGCTACCATATGCACCTAGCAATCTAGAGTAATTCTACTTCAAATGTAGGAGGAGCCAGATTCAAATAGCCCTTCGGGAGGGAGGCAAGGAAGGCATAAGTAGCAACACAGAAGATTTTCCTTAAGCTTTCCAAAGGGAGGTGGGAGGTAGATAATGACTCAGCACTATGATCAACATACCTCTCCTGGACAGAATAAACTCATCTGAAATAAAAAGAAAAAAAGCAAAGAGAGCAAAGAAATCTTCTAGCACCTGGCAAAGAAGCTGAAAAGTTCTTCTCACGCCACTACAGAGTTTCAGTTACAGATGTTGATTCAACACCCCTGGAAATCCTTGCAGTTCGCTGGTCTTGAATAGGCTAGGGTACGATAAAAAGCAGATACCCACAGAAATGAGCCTGGGACAGTAAGCTCCTGAATGCCTATCTTCAGTTTCTTTATGGCTTCCAAGAATTGTGGGTCAGTTATTAAGGCTTTGCTCCCAAATCCGTATCTGAACACACACAGATCTAAAACACATCAAGAGTTTAAAGAAACAAACCCAAACCTGTCCTAGAGAAGGAAGAGCATTATCGTTGCCTGCTGGGAGGTCCTGACCCACTTTGCTTTTTATTTTGCTTGCTGATGACACTAATGAGACAGAAAGGAAAAAGACACATATTATTAGATCCTAACACATCCATTAAAGGGATGCATGAAGACCTGAAATCTCCAGCTAAGTCTGGTAGTCAAAAAGGTCTTTTTTTTTTTCCTGCTAGTGTTGCCTCAGTTCTTGTGACAGGCTTCTCCTCATCACCCCAAATACTCATCACTTTCAGACTCCCAGGAATAGTCCAAAATACTTCCAAAGTAGGGACATGCTTAAGGTTTCATAAGACAGCATCAGGAAAAAAATAGCACACCAAACATTTGTCTGCTTATAATACCATCTCCTTTGATGTTGCAAGCAGCCTGATGTCACAGGCTGTCTTAACACTCCTAATTGTAGGTCGGGATTTTTTTCCCTTAAAGTGTGTACACAGTACCAAAGAAGATCCTGCACAGTGAGAAAGCACTTATACCAAGAACCTCAAGAACAACTCAGAACTTAAAGTTATAGCACTAAAGACTTTTAGGAACTGCAAGATTAGGTGGCCACTCAAGACCCAGGCAATGTACTCATCCTCTAATTGTGCCTAACTTAGTATCCAGTTTATTACCATGTGAGCACAGGACCAATCTCCATAACAACCAGTCACATATGGTACTTAATCACTCGTACAAGCCTCCAGAACATTTCCATTTCCAAAATACCGTCATAGATATTCCCAGTCCACTTGTTTTCAGGAACATGGATGAACCACCGTCACTACTTCCCTCTTCTGAACTGAAAATTCAGAAGGAAGTCATGAATAAGGCTGTCATTTCCCATTTCTGAAGAGCGAAACTAACGCAAAGAGGTCCAGCAGTTTGTCCAAAAAGAGACAAGAAGAGGCAGATTTAGGAGTAAGGATAACAAACTCGCTCCTCATCTCCTCCTGTCCCTAACCTTCCTAAAAACTGGAGTATTCTGATTGCTAGTCCTGCTTTTAGATAGTCTCTTGTCATCATTCTTCTCCCAAATAGTTGAGAAGAGCAATCATCAACAGCAACAAAGAGAAAGACAACAGGCGAAGAGACAAGCTCCAATTTAAGAAAAAGAAATACTAATCCTGACTTTAAATTCTGTTCTTTGCTCATTCAACTCTAATAAAACACCTCAGTTAGTCAACCAAAGTTCCATACACAGTGCCTGCAAGAAAACACCAAAACCCCACACCCATAAAACCATACTGAGAATTACGTTCTCATGGATGTATCACTTACTTTCTATAGTTAGCACGCACCCATACCAAATTACAATATATCTGCTAGTAAGTCAACATCAGCAAATTATCTGCCCTTACAGTAAATGGATCCTGAGAGCAGCTCACGTGTACTTTTTCCTCATACACAGGTCAAGCTGTAAGAAGGGCAAAAGGGAGAATGTACACTGAAGGTAAAACACATTTCACTTTTAAGAAATTGATATAGCTTCTACAACATACAGAACAACGCTGGAACCAGCCCCTTGGGTGCAACCCAAAATATGCTGATGAAGCAACAGTTACAAGAAAAAAGTCAGCTTCTTCATTACAGTAAAGAGATTACATACAAAATGAACCTACCATCTCTGTCTTCATCGTGAATATTTAGATACAAGTATTCCAGCCCTCTTCCTTTCTTGCCATGCTCCGCTCCCTGTATTTTAGCCATAAGCGTGGTTTTACCTGAACCATCATCACCTGCCAGTAAGTTTTTACAGGAAAAAAAGGCACTTTCAGAATTAATTTTAACTTTGTAGGAAAGATTTTTCAAAACACATTTAAGTAATCAGAAGTATCCTTGTACATTTTTGGACCGTACTTATTTTTTGTTTTCTTTCGAATATTCCAACTAAATCCAATGGTTTATACCACGACAATAAGAACAACGCACTTAATTATTCTGTATTACATTCTGTTTGTCTAAATACATATTGTACATCTAACAGCATAAACCAGAAACAAAGTAAATCTATCAGCCTGAAGACAACAATACCATAGATCATATTACATCATCCAATTTTAACAAACTGGGATGTCAGTTCGGCGACATCACCGTTTTAAACACACTTTGTTTATACAGAAAAACCCCAACCAGCCGACCACCACCCCGCTGCCCGCAGTTGCTACTCACCAAAGACCAGGATGTTCTTGCCGGCCGGCAGTTTGGATCTCGAGCGGGTGGACACCTCGCTCAGGATGGAGGACCTGGAAGGGCAGCACGGCCCGGCCAGCCCGCCCGCGCCCCGCAGCGCCCGCCCGCTCCGCTCCCGAACGAGGCACGACGCTACCCTTACGGACTTCAGTCCGCTTTAGCAGCCCAAGAGCACGCCGCCTTCTCGAGAACAGCTTTTATAACTCCCAGACCACTCGCAG